AGTTTTACCTGTAATCACCAATTGTTTACCAGTAATTACCAATTACATTGTACTTTTCATTTTTCCTCGTTTAGTACTGCCAGTTCTGCCACAGCGGAGATCATGAGGAGAAGCTGCTGCTCTGTGACGGCTGCGACAAGGGCTACCACACACACTGCTTTAAGCCACCAATGAATAACATTCCTGAGGGTGACTGGTGCGTAAACTGCGTCCATTTGTCTGAGCTCCCTAAGTTGTGAATGGATTTATTATCATTTTTTTTTTTCTTATGTTTTTATTCATTTTTGTTATTAAAGAAATATAAGCATTGAATTACATATTAAAGGTATCTTAGAAACCTGAAATTATTTTCAGCTCTCAGTATTTTTTGAAACAAGATAAAATGAGACTAGGACGTGTGTCTGTACCTCAGTGTGTGTATGTGCTTATGATTCTTTCCTGCAGGTACTGTTATGAATGCGTCAACAAATTTAGTGATAGTTCGCAACGGCACTGCCTGGTGTGTGGCGGGACAGAAGGCCGGACGCTTGTCCACTGCTCGGTCTGTCCAAGAGCTTATCACACCACCTGTATCACTCCTAACCTTTCTAAGGTACGTGTCCTTTGGCCTGTCGTGAAGTTGGTCAGAGGAGGATGGTTAGGTTTCATCTCAACTGACTTTTGACTTGAAAGCTTACTTGCATCCTTTGCATGCTTTTATAATGGGGAAAAAAAGTTTTTACAAAATGTAAATTGACATTGAGTTTGATATTCCAATAAATACTTCTCTTAGCACAAGAGCAGCTAACCCTCTGGTTGTCGAACAGGTACCTCGCAACAAGTGGGTGTGTCCAGCCTGCACCAGCAAGAGTCCTCGAGGGCGAAGAGGCCGTGCGAAGAAAGTGAGTGAGAGCAACACCCAGGGAGCGGCCAACAACAGTACTACTCCCTTGGATGTTTCACAAGACGGCATTGACGAGGCTCAGCCCTCAACCCCAGTCTCGTCGAGCAAAAAGGAGAGAGCCAACAAGAAGGTACGGACAAAGGCTAGACAAAGCTAGATGCATTGCATGGGTTATATTGTGTAATCTAATACTCATGTTTCTAATGCAAACAAGATGCTCTCTTTGTTCTTGAACATAATCTGGCCTGTGATTGTAAACTATTTTTAACTCTTGATGTTAGGTGGTCAGTAGGACTAGCCACTTTCTTTAATGCCTTGTAATAAAACCAAAAGAAATGGCCTAGAATAATGTTTTTATTTTATGTATGTCACAGTTGTTAAGGCTTTCATGATACTTAACTGGCTTCATGCCCATGAAATCAGATATTGCTACTATTCTCATTGGCATTCATGGTTTTGTAGGCGATACTGGATTTAAATGCATAGAAGCTATTCCACTAACACTAAGAACTCCAAAATGTATGTGTGTGTGTGTATATATATTACATGTAAGCTAGTATAGTTTTCAAAATAAACATTTATGTATAATTTCTTGGTCTTTTTAATATTTATATGTCCTCTTGTATAATGCTATGGAGGAACTTATACAGAAAATGTGAATTTCATATTTTCAGTCCGAGTGCACCCTGGACCCTTGACACCAAATGGTCTGAAGGGCTAATCACCACAGAAAAAAATAGATATGATCAACATGCATAGATTATTCTTTTTCTCGCTTTTTGTACTGTGGATGAGATATTTACTCTAAAACAGAAAAGTATATAAGATGATAATTGATCAGCAAATTGAGAAAAAATAAAGGAAATTGATAAACTGCCATTGAAGGTTCAAACCAGAAATAGGAAAGACTTGGTCAATTCTCAAATGCAGATTAGTTCACTGCCAGTTTTTAATTCCATAGTTAATGGGTCAAAAGAATAACTTCCATATACCTGCTAACCAGTCACACATGTTGCATCATGAGCCAACATGGTATTTCATGCAACTTTTGAGGGAGAATTGCAAATTCCACTCACTGTTATTCAGCACATCCATGGATGCATTGTGAGTCACCTTTGATCATTTGGATTTCCAAGGCAGTAAAAAACTAGAAGTAAAAATGAGATAAAGAAATAGCATCTTGGACTGGATTCTTGCATGAATCACACCTTGTGCTTAACAGTTATGAATTACTTCACATATTTTCAGAGTATTAACCATATAAATTGGACACTAATTTTCCATAACTAATACAGTTCACAGAGTCAACAGGGAACTACTTTGTATTAGTGACTTGATTTTTGAAAACCTAATGATTATAAGTGACTCACAATGCATCCATGGATGTGCTGAATAACAGTGAGTGGAATTTGCAATTCTCCCTCAAAAGTTGCATGAAATACCATGTTGGCTCATGATGCAACATGTGTGACTGGTTAGCAGGTATATGGAAGTTATTCTTTTGACCCATTAACTGTGGAATTAAAAACTGGCAGTGAACTAATTTTGTATTAAAGAGTTGATATAATCTTTCTTAATTAAAAAAAATATATTTCATACTACAGTATGACATGGAGAAAAGTAGAATTTATTGTTTTGATTTCCTTCCATTGCAGAAGGAACAGAGAGACTTACAGGCATGCAAAAGCATAGTTCAAGAGCTGGAAGGACATGAGGACGCCTGGCCCTTCCTCCTTCCCGTCAACACCAGACAGTTTCCCACATATAAGAAGATCATCAAGAAACCCATGGACCTCTCCGTCATCAAAAAGAAATTGGAGGATAATCTGTAAGTCAGCAGGGCTTTGCGGATTGCTGTCAGTATGGTGTTTGCTGACTTTTATGCATGAAGAGATTGGAGTGTTCGTATCTGTTCTTTGATTCTAATGGATACATATTAGCTTTTGATATCAGAGACAGTTGAGTTTTATTTTGAATTTGTTGTTTTATTTTATTATTCTTAAAAGAGAAAAGGAAATCAAATAAAATGTTGAATGATAAAAACTCAGATTTGATAACTGTTGCTATTCATTTCATTACAGAAGCTTTTAAATGACAAAATTCTCATTAGTAATCCCACCTATTTTTTCTTTTTACAGTTACAAGTCACGTGAGGATTATTGTGAAGACTTGCGGCTAATGTTCAACAATTGCGAAACGTTTAATGAAGACGATTCTCCGGTGGGCAAAGCAGGCCATAATCTCCGTTCATTCTTTGAAACCAAGTGGAATGAGCACTTCCCCCCAACTTAATTCCTTTTTTTATTTATTTATTAATCTTTTTATTTATTTTTTTGAATTTTTAAGAATTTATATAAGTATCGTCCTTTTTCTTTTTTCTGAGAATTTTAAAAGGGGACGTAGTTCCGAGAGAGAAAGAGAGAATTTGTTTCAAGATGTTCCTGAAGCTGCGTTATGTTGAGTGGCAAGCTTATCACATTCTTCAGATGAGGGACCTGATAATGAATAAAAGATGATTGGAAGTGATAAAGCTGTTCCGCTGTTTCATTCACACGTTTCAAACTAAACTCGAAATGGTTAGGTTAGAGACGATGAACATTCGAGAAGGCGTGTCCACAGAAATAAAAAAACAAAACAATAGTGAAGGGACCAGTTTGTCTTCAGAAGTGGGAGTGCGAACTGCGAGTGACTTAACGAGAATCTGGAGAGCAGACTTCGGACACGGCCCAAAGTTCCCGTGCGTTTTTCAGGGCGAGTGAGAGTCGGGTATAGGCTCTATATTTTTCCTATTCCAAAGACCCAAGTGTTTTGAGTGAGAATGCATGAACAAAATATTAAAAAAGAATTGAGTAGATATATATATGTCTTGAGGTGTTTATGGCGGTGTAGATATACAGACTTTTTAAAAACTCATAATTATGGACAATTTTTCCAATATAGAGCAGCTATATGCTTCTGCAGTGTATTGAAGTACAGTTTTTACTACTAAGGTCTGGTAGAGATTTTATATATGGCATTAAAGAAGTGCATAAGTGATCAAGCATTTTACATAAACCTTCCAATGAATATGTAAGATGTTAATGCTAATAGTTTAAAACATGTACAGAAAATTGGTTCTCTATAAGAAAGCTTCTGTTTGGAGGCAATTACCAAGGAATGTGGAATCATTTTGTTTCAATGAATTTCATCACATCAATGGATAGAATTATATGGTGACAGAAGTAGGAATTTGTGAACAGGGAAGGAAAATACTGTGTTCTTTTGTTCTAATTTAATTATTTCTGTTTATTTGGATGATAAGTGGCCTTTGTTAGCAGCAGTGCAGTCGACTTAGACAAAAAGGTTTGTCTAGCGTACAATGGTGTCTGTGAATGTTACATTATGTTGAAATGTGTCTTTGTCCACTGTGAAAAACAAAAACAAACAAAAAGAGTTAGTGCTTCAGTGGGATTTGTTTTGTAACTTACAGAATACCTCAGAAGAAAAAAAATCACTTAAAACACACACACATACCAAAAGGAGATGAAAAGAAAAGAAAAAAGAGCAAAGGAAACAGATGGTGAATTTAACAAGGGCCAAAAAATGCTCCTGTATGCTCCTGTGCATCAGTTCCGAGGCACTGTCACTTGTATTATGTAGCCTTTTTGCAAGTCTTGGCTGAATGAGTGAGGGAAGTAGTAATACAATTCATGTAAAGTGGAAATGATTCCGTTATAGATTAAATAAATCCTTTGGTGCTTACGACGACATGCCATTCCTTTACAACGGCATTTTTAAAGATTTTTAAAAATTATTATTGTTATTATAATTATTATTATTTTTTTTTTCTCTCTACAAATAAAGCTTAATCTAACCAAAGACAGTTTTATACAGTATGTGCTTGCCATTTAATAACTGCACCAAAAGAGCCATATTTGAAAGTTTCTAATGTTAAGATCTGTGCAGAAAAATCATAATGATAAATGTATTGATAATGGATGGCCTTTATTTTTGGCATATAGGTTAGTATCATTCAGGGATTTTTAACTTCCAAAAAGAAACATGGTCATTCAGAAAGTGCACAATACAGCAGGTAAGACTTCCTTATCATGTTATTCAGAAAAAAAAGTGAATAACT